CTTTCTTTTGTCTATTTTATTTAGATATCAGTTCTGCATCATTAATTGAATATTATGTATTTATTCACTATTCTTTCGGCACTGATTTGCATACAATTGATAACAATAGCATCGACTAGTACGTATTCATACTTTATTTTTATTTTGATATTATTATATATAGATTTATTTATTTTGTTTAACAAAGATGCAATTGATATGAGTTCAAATGATCAAGTAAAACTTCTTCATCAATTAGAAACATCATTTGATCCTGATGATATATCGACGAACAATAGTGAAAGTGATGAAGAAAATAATTATAATCGTCGTGCAGCATCATTTTTAAGATTTGGTAGACAAATAGCACCATCATCAGGATCATTTCTTCGTTTTGGCCGCTCAAATCCTTCGTTTTCACGTCTTAATCGTGCCAGCCATAAGGGAGGAGCATTTCTTCGTTTTGGCCGACGTGGTCAACAATCAAATCCAAACAATTTTCTTCGTTTGAATCGGAAAGGTGACTTTTTACGATTTGGATAAAATTAATTATTCTATGTTTTCTTTTTTTTCTCACTAATGTAATAAGAAAATCACAAAAACTATAAAAATAATCAACACATTTTCCATAAACAATAAACATTGAACGATCCTTAAATATGAACAAACAAAGCAAAAGACAAAAAATCTATTCAATGCTTTTCTTAATCAGTATGAAGGAGTGAAATTTTGTATTTGCATGCAATATATATATATATATATCAGTCATTGATAATAAATTTTACACTTAATTAAAAATGAAATAAATAATGACTAATATTTCTTTCCTAAATAAAAAAATATATAAATACTAAATAAAATTTGTATATACTCAATAAATAATAATTGGGATATTAAATAAACTTTGTAAATACTCAATGAAATTAATATTTTTCAATAATTAAAGTTTTTGTTAAGTTTAATAATTAATATACAAGTAAAACATTTTATTATTAAGTTAATAAACTGAGTTTGTAATTAAGAAAACAAATTTGATAAGTTAACATGATTAAGACAAGATAAGATAACAATTGTCAGTTGACCTTGTACATTTTCTCTGTTTCCTTGAGTTAGTATTAATGTAACACAATAACATACGTGAGTTTCATCTTTATTTTCTTTCATTCTGATGTCATACATGAATACATACACATCATCTTTTAGCATGTTCAGGTACATTTTCTCTCTCTCTCCTGCTGTGCCGATTATATATAACCTATGGTGTTTTCCGGCGAGTTCTTCCCGCTGTGTCTATCAATTTCTAATGAGTTCTCTTCTTCTTATTCTTCTCTCTCCCTCTCTCTCTCTATATATATATACATCTGGCGCTCGAAATTTACTCCAAACTTACAAACAATGGCAAATTTTGTAGAGATACGACAGTATGAAAGCTCATCGGAATCTGACGACAAAATGGTAATGAATCAGCAGGATATTCAAGGAAAGACAACAGTTAGACATAGATTTAATTTGGTAAAAGACAAAAGCTTTTTTGATAATGTAAAAGCTTCAATTTGAATTATGGAAAGTAACTTTGTCGGACAATGCGTCAGAATGGAAAAATAAATTTTGTAACTGTCCAAACTTTTTTAAAGAATATATTTGCAAACTACCTTCAGCAACAAAGAATGTATTTTTAGATGAAAAAAAACAAACAAAATGAGGATGACCACGAAAAATAACTAAAGCTCTCTTAATACAATAACTGTGTATTTAAATTTTCTACTAATACATTTATGTATTTTTATTGAACAAAATTTATATGTTCATCAAACTATACTAGGTGTCACAAAAGTTTTGCAACATTTTGTGTTTTGTATATAGCTCAGTTCAGACAAAAGATGGAATCTTGAATTTAATTTTGGAAGAGATGCGCAATTTAATTCTCTACAAATTTGTATTTAGCTTAATTTAAAATAATAGACGTCAACGTTTTTATGGATCAAAAAGTATGATTATATGAATTGCATTTACTTCCTACACGGTTTTTATTAAATTATTTGTTTTCGTGTGAACGAATATTTCGCTTTTAAAAAAAGTAGACTATCAGATGACTCTCGAAAGATTCTGTCGATCGCTAATATAATTAACATTCAGTCTTTCTATTAGACAGAATTTTTCGCGAAGCAATATTGTGACAATCCCAAAATTTCCTCTCAATTATCCTTTTCGAGAAAAGTACCTCTTAAAAACGTGACCGTTGACCAAACCGAGTTAATTTTTGCAGTACTTTGTAAGAAACGGACTTCACTTTCTACTTGAAGTTCGAAAAACATTTTTATAAAACAATTCAAACGACAGAAGAATCTGGATGTTGCCAAGAATGCTGTCTTTGTAGTAACATATCTAACAGACCATTCTTATTAGGTTCAAATAGATTGTAATCGAACGCAGAAAATTTATTCTAAAAGATCATTGATATCCGATAGTATTGTTGATAATTAGTTTTTTAAGTGCCTGTTTATAACACGGCATAGTCAGAAAAATGTGTGGGAAGTAGACGCAATTCACATAGTCATACCTTTTGATCCATAAAAGTGCTGACGTCTATTATTTTAAATTAAGTTAAATATAAATTTGTAGAGAATTAAATTGCGCATCTCTTCCAAAATTAAATTCAAGATTTTATCCTTTGTCTGAACTGAGCTATATACAAAACACAAAACGTTACAAAACTTTTGTGACACCCAGTATATACAATATATTAACTAGAAAATTAAATACTTAGCAAAAATTTCTTTTTAAAATTAGAATTCTTCTCAATAGATTACTTAGAAAAAATGGAATTTTTGACTTAGTTTTTATTCAAAATTATTTTATATTTAAATGGACACAATAAATAATTATATAGTCATTAGTATTGAATTCTCGTCTTTGAATGAATTTAATTTATATTCGATGGAATTGAATTGTTATTTTGTTTTTATTTGTACACTTTCATGTTTAATCATTGTCGTTACAAAAAAAAACCGTATTCGAAAGAAGATTAGAATTTTGATAAAATGATGTTCGATTGTGATGAAATCAGAAAATTTTAGAATTCAAATAATAGATCGAGAACAGTGATTAATATTTTTTCAAATGCGATACATATTAATTCGCCAATGATTCATATCAAATTTGCTATATCATAAAATTCCAATTGAATGCCTATGATCTCAAATGAGAAACACATCAAGTGGCATGATCCTATGAATGAGAGATAGTGTTGGAGTAGACAAGCTTTAAATAATGCAAGATATTGTCAAGCAAAACTAACTGAAAGAGAATATCTTGTTAATGAGAAGGACTGTATTTTTTATTGTCGACATATTGATTTGACATGTTCATTGTTTTTACTAGAACTAACATTATAAATAAATTATTTTTTCTTAATAAAATCCTATCTCAAGAAGTAAGACAAATATATTCAATGACAATAAACATTAACTAATCATATTGAATCAGCTAAGTCCTATCAAAAAAAACAACCGTATTTCTAGTTTCTATTAATCATTGATCAATTCGAATTGTAAATTTATAATTAAAAGATAATCTGAAAATTCCACTTCATTCTTTAAATTTACGTTATATATATATATATATATATATATCCAATACAAAAATGATTAATCGATTGAAATAAAAAGTTTTGTAGAAAAAGATTAGAACTTTAATCTGAAAAAAAACATGTTAGTGCAATGCCTGGGGGATTAAAATGTGCAACACGATGTAATTGCTGTTGCTGATAATAGAAAGATTACTTTTTTCTATCTATTTTTGAACACATTTCTTCACCATCCTTTTATTTTATCCTCGAGCAATGCAATGCTGAAGTAGTTGATGCATTATAACGAGACATTATTGACATACGATATGTGATCGTATATCAATAGCATCTAGCACATTCTGTAAGGAGAGAGAAGTGGGTGCATATTTTTATCTTTGTACTTCAAAGTATATATGTTCTTCGCCGAAAGTTACATCGTCGAAATAAAGATTGTCGAATAAAAGTTTACCGAAAAGCTTATTTATAAGAAATTCGGATATTTATATTGATGACCTCTATTTCAATGATGTTCATTTCGACGATCTTTTTTTTTTCGATAATGTTCGTTTCGACGATGAGACTTACATTCGACGTTTACCATAATAATTATAAAAACAGTGATGTTTTCGATTTTTCTGACTTTCTTCACTGTTTTTTTGTTTTGGTCAAATAGACAAAAAAACAAAAAAAAATTCAAGTGTTTGCCCTTGGCTTTTTACTTCAAAAAAACAAAAACAAAAATCAACAACTATGTTTTTTTTATTTAAAATTAATTTTAAAAAAATCAACTGCTTCCCTCTTGAGCATATTTTATGATAATTGATTTATGAATAAATGAGACTTCAACTACATTGAACAAAAAAAAAAAGATTCCGGAAATCCTTTTCAAGATCTGTATCACACTATGTCTTTTTTTTAGTGTATGGTGAAAGCTAGACAGGACTGCCAACACGACAGAAAAAGTCGAAATATTTTTTTTTTTTTTTGTTAAATAAAAATACATATAACGACATAGATCCACGAGAAATTAAAGTTATTCTAGCGTCACTTTTCCTTTACAGCTATGAACAATCTTTATCCTTTTAGTTATTATTCTTTCTGAAGTAAAGGTATAATAATTGTTTATAACTGTGTAAAGAGAAAAGTTTCAATCAATAGATTTTTTTTTCTAATATCTAGCTTATTCACAATGTAACAATAGTAAATTCTTTCAGATATTTTATTAAGAAAAATTCAAAATACATTTATTTTAAAACTACAAAACACATTTCTGTTTTTTTTTTATAATTTATAAACACACATTTTTATCCTCAATATAATGAGTTCATTGCGTTACAGATAAAAGAAAAAAAAGAAATTTGATCAAATATCTCGAATGAAATTTATATTTTGAAACATTAAGAAATTTCCAGATGAATAATATTCATTCATAATTATTAAATATTAATTTATATTAAAATGAAGTATTTCGATTTTCTGTAAGTGAAGTAATAAGTTTTTGTAAAATAGTTACATCTAAATGGGCTAATGGTAAATATTCTTGTCGAATTCTTAATGCTTGTTCATAAAAATTTTTTGCTTCAGATAATTTTTCTTCTTGATCATGTATTAAACCAAGATTATAATAACATGAACTTTCAAGTTCTTTTTTTAATATTGAATCATCTTGAATCCTAAGAACAATTTCTAATGCACGAAATGCATGTGTAAATGCATCACTAAAATGATTTTGTTGTTCAAAAACTGCTGCCATATTTGAAAATAATGATACTAAACATAAATCATCTTTTTGATAACAACTTGGTATATATTCTCGTGCAATATGTAATACTTTTCGATATTCATTTAATGATTTTTCATATTGACATAAACTATCATAAATAATACCCATATTATAATGTAAAATAATTTCTCGAAGTTCTTGTGGATTATTATATAATACTTGTTTAAATAATTTATTAGTTGATTTAAATAGATTTAAACGATTCCAAATTGTATAACCAATTTCTGTTAAATTCATTTTTTCTAATCTATATTCATTTATACATTGTGTTAAATTATTATATTGTTTATCATTTTTATCAATTAATGTTATTTGTATTAACCATGCTGATGATACACCAAGAAGTTTTTCAATTTTATTAATACGATATACACTTAACATTGATATAAGATATTCTTTTTCATGAACAAATTGACTTACAAAACCGGTATTAGCATATGAAACAATAGATTCTTTTGTACGATCAATATGTATTTGAAAAATTACACGAATTATATTAGTATTTGATATTAATTTTTGTTGTTGTTCAATATACATAAGAGCAATACTTAATTCAGAATTTGCAGATACACATTGATTAATACACATTAATCCACCAACATTTTGTTTTATTTCATCAAAATCAGATTTTAATAAAAATTGACCAAAATAAAGATTTAATGAACTAGTTGTTGTTGTTGTTGTTTGTTTACTTTCATTTACTTGTAAAACTTTTAAATCTAAATCTTTTATATATCGATGCATTGAACATAATGCATATAAATCATGTGTACGTAGTGCACGATTAATAATACCTTGAAAAAAATAATTTTTTGTATACCACCATATAGGACTATGTTTAGAATAATTTTGTTCAAAATCATTTATTAATTCTATTTGATTTTCAGTTTTATATTGATCTCGACAATAATTAATCATATGTTGTTTACCATGATCAGATGAATCCATATTAAATAAAATAATTCTATTTAATTTCGAATAGATTAAACGTAGTTGATCTTCATTTGTGGTTAATGAATTTATTTCATTACTAATAACATCAAATTGTAATCGATCATATTCAAGTAATGATTGTGTACTAACATAAGATTTTAATGATTCACATATATCATTTATATTATTAAATACTCCTCGTACTTTTCGATAAGGTGATGACCATAAAAGATGTTTTTCTCTATTGAAACAAAATATATATATAGAATGTATTTGTTCAAGATTATGAATTAATGGTACAAGTTCTTCACCCATTGTACCTGATATAATCAGACATACATTATCAACATGTGTAATAAATTCTCGACAAGCATCTAATTCATTAAATGTATGTACAAGTTGTCGATTTTGATTTATAATGCGTGCTAATTGCGTTATAGTATTTTTATCATCATCGACAGTATTTTGTGTACCAATTGATGCATCACACCAAACAAAACTAAACGATTTTTCAAATGCTTCAATCCAACTTGTATCATAGATATCTGTATTTAATAAATTATTATTTATGTCGTGTAATCTTGATTTTTCTAACTTATCATTTTTGTTGCCCATATGAGGTAAATACGTTATGTTGTTAAAAGCGTCAACAATAGCAGCCGTTTTACTTTGTATGACACCGAATGCTCTTATAATGCTGTGTTACTTCGAAACGAAATGGGAAGAGAATGAATAAAAAAGAAAATGACGACTAGATTTATAATTCCGTTCTTCTTCCATCAAGGTTCTCTTTACTCTCAATGATGGCGAATTTTCAGCGACACATTACTCAAAAGAAAGCATTAAATACGTGCATGATTTTTCGTCTTTTGCCAAGTTGAATCATGCCTTATATGACGCATGAAGTGTTTATGTCGTATAAGAAGAGTGAAGAAAGAAAAAGAAATCAAATAAAAAAACAAAAAAATAAATTGAGATTGAGTCATGAAATGAGGAAAAAACCAAGGCAAAGGTCATCTTTACCTTTATCAAGATATAAAAATAAATACCATGTTTTTTTTGTTGTAGTTACGGATCTCGCGTGTCTCAACAACATTCCATGAATTCACCGAAAAGATACAGTTATTGAAGAAATCATGCTCAAATTAGATATTCTATTGTTTAACAATTGTTTTTTAATCATGAATGAAGTATACAGCAAATTTTTGTTTTCGCTCTAATCAAATTTGATTTTCAAAAAACTTGGAATATTCTTCAGACTTTGTAATAATCGTAAGAGCTCTGCAAGCTTCTATCTATATAATCAACATGTTTATATATATATATATATATATATATGTCTGAATTGCCTGTAAAATGCAACTAGTTGATCTGTTAATTGAAAAGTCAAGTAGTTGACTTTAAAAATGTATAAATGTGAAACTGTTATGCAATAACTGACAATACATGATTTTCAACTGGTGAAAAATTTCTGATGTGGATTTAAAAAAGAATTTCTTATTAATTGTTGTATCATCATAACATAAAATAATGAAGGAAGTATTCCACTCGAAAAGAGATGCCTATCTAAGAGTGTTGAGCATCAGATGACAATCAGGACGTTGGTGTGAGTATGAGTGTGAATGTAGAGGGAATACTTATGTCCACACCCATACTCACATCTACATCCTATTCACTATTGTTATCTTTTTTTAAGTATTCATTTCTTTTTCTTCACTTCATCTATTCAATAAACATGATATCGACCATGTAAATAAACATGATATCGATTATGTAAATAAACATTTACTATTTCACATTTTGCAGTCAATTAGTTGGATCATCTTTATTTTGATTGAATACAAGATACCACCAGATAAGCTTGTACATCTGCCTCTCCATAAGTTACAAGTTCAATTGGTCAGAAAAATAGAGCATGCAATTTTGCATACTTTGGTATATTAATATTTTTTCGTTGAATGTAAAAAACAATTTTCGAGGACTAAATAGTCCTAGAGGATCTACCATTTTTGAGTGTTTTGGATAATAACTATAGAAGCCATAGTTTTTTTTTGTAAACTTAATATGACAAATAATAATGAAGATTGATATGATTTTTCATGTTCTACAAAATAAAATATTGATTATATTTATCCATTAGTCTGTAGAGGATCAGACAGGTATAATATTATACCTGTCTGACCTTCTACAGACTAATTGATAAATATAATCAATATGTTATTTTGTAGAACATGAAAAATCATATCAACCTTCATTATTATTTGTCATATTAAGTTTACAAAAAAAAAATTATGGCTTCTATAGTTATTATCCAAAACACTCAAAAATGGTAGATCCTCTAGAACTATTTAGTCCTCGAAAATTCTTTTGCATTCAACGAAAAAAATAAATAAATACACAGAAATGTGCAGAATTGCATGCTCTACTTTTTCTAACTTATTGAACTTGTAACTTAGGGAATGGCAGATTTACAATTTCATTTGATGATATTCTTTCTTCCAGAAGATTTAATCTCTGTCAGCATGCTTTAGAATTTTTTTTCTAAATTGCGTAATGTGTATGATAATTGACTATATGATGACTATTTTGCTCTTCATATATTATTCCATTCATTTTTGCTCATTTTTTGAAATAAACTCTTTGTTTTTTTTCTTCTTATTTCACTTTATTGAACAGCAAAGTTTTATTATATTATGCTTTTCTTTTTTGTTTTTGAAATTATTTACGACATATGAACAACACTGATTTCATTTATTATTTCTATAAATATTAATCATTTCAATTAAAATGAAATTTCATGCATAACAAAAGACACTTTTGATATTGATAAGATATATTATTAACATGAACGACAAAATAAATACAATCTGAATATAGATTAATACGTTAATATCAGTGTATTTCAAATATTTTAATTTATAACTGGAATGTTTTATGTTTCATTCACATAATTATATTTACTTCACAGGACATAGATATTCTTTTTTTTTTATTTCGATTATCAAATCATTTTAAGTATTGAATAAATAAAATAATATATTTATAATTGTTTGTTTATTTTTTGTTTGTATTGAAAAATATTTAAAATCATGGAACAACTGTTGGTATTTGATCATTATCTTCCAATCGATTATTATTTAATAGTAAAAGACCATTAATTTCTGTATTTCTTGCTGTTGCTGTTGATACTAATGATAATTTTGTTGATTTTTTACCTCCACTAAATATAGTAACAGATGATCTTGTACCAAAAAATCTTGTTTGACGTTGTCGATGTTTTGAAAATGCTAAACAAAAACGTTCAGTTAATACAATAAAAAATAATGGATTAAGTATTCCTTCAAAATGATTTAATAAAACAACAAGTAAATGTATATAAGATAAAATACGTTGTAATAATGATCGTGGTACAACTTTTTCATCAACAATAAAACGTGTATAAAATTTAAATGTCCAAAATGGTGTAAAACATATAAGAAATGATAAAACAATACATAAAACAAGTTTAACACCACGTGTTCGTTTTTTTGCTATACTTGAATTTGTTAATTGTACTTTACGTTTTATCCAAGTACGTAAAAATTTGAGTAATTTTAATGAAAATAAAACAATTATTGAATAAGGTATTATAAAAGCAATGACATATAGAATTATTTCATGAATAAATAATAGCCTTTCTGTTAGCCTTGATTCACATGAAAATATTGGTGTAATTGACGAATTTTTATTACTAATATTAATATTCTTAGTACTGTCCTCAAGAAAAGTATAAAAAATAAATGGATATGCTAAACAAAGACCAAGTGCCCATATAAGAACTATTAATCCAAATATAATTAATGTACGATATTTTGCTGGAAAAATTGAACGTGCATCTATATAACGTTCAATACTTAAAGCTGCAACTGTATAAACAATGACCTAGAAATATGAAAAAAAAAAAAGATTTTCATTGGTTTATGTTTTATTAGATTTTTTATTATATGAATAATTTCAAAAATTAAACTATTTATAGTCCATTGTTGTACATATTATAAAACACATTGTATTTTTTTTTATATTTTTTAACAGATTCTGAAGATTCTTTATGTAGCATTACTGTCTTCATAGGCTTTGAGCGACGGATCCACGATTAAAGATATAAGAAAAATGTCGCGTAGAGGTCGCATAAAATTACAAAAAATTTTTCTTATCTTAATGCATAATAATGAATTATTTTCAATTATCTAAGGTGTGTTGTTTTCTCAGTATTGCAAGACCTGATTCTTAATTAAGTTATGGTAAAAATATATTAAATCAATATATATGTCGATCATATAATCTTGCTAATAAAATAAGATTTTGTGATATGTTCATACCAACTAAATCACCGAAGGCTATCACTCAGGTGATCTATATCGCTTGTGGGTTTAGTACTTCTTGTCTATGTATGTATTCTAATTTTAAATAACAATAGTAAGAATATTTTTAATAAAGATGATATATAATATGTCAAAGTTTTCATAAGATCAAAGTAATGTATGCAGAATTTTTTTTTTTGTCAAGGAAAAATTAAAGTGTCTCAAGAGACAATCTCTATGATCTTAATCTTTCTACATAATTAACATAAAATAGAATATAAAATCTAAAATACTATATTGTAACCTACAATGATTACTATTATTTTGACAAAGATAATCATGGATTATTATACGATGAATAAATGTAAAATCTTCTTAAAATTAAAATGAAAATGAAAAAAATTTCAATTGAAAATACTTAAAAATAAAAAATAAAAGAAGATATTTTTATGCAAGAATTATTATTGAACTAACTCGAAGTTGTTTTTATATATATTACATATAAAGATTTAGATAATAATCAGCGGATTTTCTACGAATCTATTGTGTCAATATAAAAAGATGATAAGAATAAAAAGAAAAAGGATTTTTCTTTCAAATCATGCATTTTGATTAATATAGCAATATTCATTTTTCATATAAGAATGAGACTTACCACTGTGCAAAGTACATCAATAGATAAACTAAATTTGCATCCAAATGCGCCAAATATCCAACTACGTGTAAATAAAGTGCTACTGAAAAAAATAATACCCACTAAAATATGCAAAGAGAAAATTATATTTAAAAACCAAGATTTAAAAAGAAAAAAAAAATATAACATACTCGCATGAATAATATCAGCTATAGCTAAATTAACAACTAACATAGCAATTGTTGTTTTATCTTGTGTTGATAAAATATAAACAATTGCTAAAAGATTAAGTATGATTGTTCCCAAAAATATTAAACCAATAATTGCAACAAACATTCCAAGTAGAATTGTTTTTTCCATTGTTATTTTTAAGTAATAATAATAATAATGAAAGATTATTGAGTTGATATCAACATAAAAAGATAATTAATCAATGTAAGATTGTTCTTCTTTTACTGAATTTCCCTTATGATTAACACGTAGGTGTGAAACATGAAATTAAATATAAAGAGATTCTCATTCGTATATGATTGTTACTAAAAAAAAAGCAAAAAAAAATAAAAAATGCATGAAGAAACATTGTTATATTCTCAAAATTTACTTTCTTTCCGTGTTTTTTTTCTAATTAAATTATTACATGCAATATATTTTCAGGATTTTTCATGCAATAAATTAGTTTCATAATAGATTATTACATGACAGACATATAATTCGTAACCTCGGTAAAACAAGTTTAATCATAAGGAAAAAAAAATAACATCCTGTTTTCAATTAATGAAATTTGATCAAATGATGCGAAGATAACTATCAGACACTACTTATATATATATATATATATATATATTGATATTTACTTTCGAAAAAAAAATATCCCTAGAGATAATCGAAATTCTATATACTTAATAGAACAACTATCTCAATTATATTAGAAGGTTTTCGATCCAAAAGGTGAATATATTCTCATGCAGAAACAAAAAAAAAAGTCATTTTCTACATGTCTACTATTTGCAAAATTGACAATCTATTTTCTTATTTCGCCTGTGTAATTTCCAAATCAATGATTACTATCTTCTGTTTTTTAGAATTGTTAGAAGTATATATAATTTACGATAAATGCATTTTTTCATCATATTCTAAAAATTCTTTGATGATTAACATTATCGACAAAAAACAAGTCATTTCTTAAATGGAATTTTCTCTAAATAAATTCTATCATATAATGAATTGTAACTATAGATTCTATTTCAACCAATATTTTTGGTAATTTTTAATACATGAGGTTTTCTTTTTTCATCATTTCTCATTTTCTTGCTAGAAAATTAAATACTTACTCAAGAAAAAAAGGAAAGCAAAATCAAATAAGACAACAATTCAGTGTAAAAATATATGATTTTATAAATAGCTATAGTGAAAATGTCATTATAAACACTGAGAAAGAAAAGATTGTTAGATGAATATATATATATACATAATAATAATGATAGAAAAAAGAAAAAAGGAAATGACAAAGAGTTTTAAAACCAACATCGTACTTACCTCGTCCTTTACTGAGCTAGTAGTGCTTACTCATGAGAGCCGGATATTACAAAACAACGATCTTTTTCTCGTTTTCTGTACTTATCAAAGCAAAAATTTCTTGCCAGTTTCAATCGTTTTCTTTTGTCTTAATATAGTAAACCATGAACATACTAAACATAGAGAAATTAATAAAACCTAAGGGCATCTTCTTTTTTTTTTCTTTTTGATGCTCTTTTCTTTTGAAAACACAGAGAGAGAGAGAAAGTGAGTGAAAGGGTAAAAAACGGAAAATCCCTCAGGAAAAAAAGAGAGAGTGAGAGAGAAAGCAACAAAATGCATTGAGAAGCATGTTACTTGTCTATTTAATCTACATTTACAGGCATGCACATGTTTCTATTCTTGCTTGTCATTGCTGATTCTTATATTACTGACCAGATAAAAAAATAGATAGATGCAAACATCATGCATATGTATATGTCCTTGCTCAATTCTATATAAATGTGTATCAGTTTTAGACACGTTCATTCTCAGTGAACAACAACTGATGTTATTTCATAGATATATGACAGATAAATGATGATGTCAGCCGTCTAATCTTGTTATCATGTCAATGGCAATCGGTTTCTTTTTTTTTTACGCGTTCATGTTTTGTCAATGTTTTCGCTTTGAAATCATCATCATCTTGTAGAACATAACATTTTCTTTTGTTTAATTTAATTCTTTTGGACATAAATGGAATGCCTTAGGCATAGTCTTTTCTATATATGGGTATATTCAAATGCATTTTCATAATTTATAAACAGAAGAGAGCAGCTAGTTTATCGAAAATAAACTAAATAACTAAAAATTAATAACACTGAGATGCACAAAAAAAAAGAGCACTCATCATTATTAAGAGCAATATAAATAGATCCATTTGCAATAAAAAGTTACACGAACCTTAAATATCACCTCTTATAATGTAATTATAGCTGTTATAGAATGTGAGTGTATTGATAATGTAAAATTTTGACATAGAAACAAAAGATTAGGGAGCAAAAAAATTATCTAAAAGATAAAATGTGCATATATATAGAATCACAAGATTGCAAGATAGATTCACATGAATAATTTCATAATTGTTAGAAGAGATAAAGAGGAAAGAATTTATTTTGTTGAAGAACATTTTTAATGTTCCTTTTTTATGCCAATTAACAAAGATAATTATCTTGAATATGTTATCAAAAGACTCTCTTGCCTTTCTTTTTTCTTCATCATTTGACAAGCGCAAATAGTTTATATGTTTTGTCTTTCGATAAAACAAAACCTAATTAGTTTATGAACTATAGACATCTAATATAAACTAATCAACAAAAATTTTTATAGAAAAACATTTTCTTCTTATGTAATAACAAAGATAATATTTAAAAAGTGTTTAATATAACTTTTTCCCAGATTCTACTTACTAAGAAAATCAATAAATTAAATTTTGTTATTTCCATTAATAATTTCGTCCTTGTACGAGAATATTCTCACGTGTCATTTGTTTTCTATTTATTAGATTTACTCCATTGCATCTAAGATGGTATTTTGATTATTCTATATACATATATATATATATTAATTTTTTAATTCAGTGTTTTCTTTTTTTTTGGATAATTTGATTTATAAAAAAACAAAAAAACAAAGAAATATTCAAATAACTATTCGGCTTTTGTTTTTTCGCGTGAACTATTAGTTTTTATAAACTAAAAAAAAAAGAGCCAACGGATATTCAGTGTATATCCTGGATTAAATCTTTTTTTCTACTTGTTTTTACTAATTTTTTTGAACTCTATATAATCTCTTATTAATCATTTACGTCACAGAACTATTATCCAATTTGTTGATTATTCAAAAACAAAGAAATTCTTTATACAAAACAAAAAAACTTGACACAACATTTTGATTCTATAAAATAGATATCCACAAAGACAGATATGAAATACGATTTACTTATTTATTTTTAAACAAAAACTATCACATTATTTTATTAAACTAAAAGTTCGAGGAACAATCCACAATAGAGTACAACAAGCATGGTTTTTCTCGAGTACGAAGAAGTACTAGTACTTGTCTAACTTTGATGTAGAATAAATTATAATCTCAGTATTTTGTTTCTAACTACAGTCACGTTTTTTTTTTCCACGCAAGTGTTTTTTTTATCAAAAGATGGCTCATATAGTGCTTGACAAAAATATGTCGTATGTCAATTAACGATAATTAGTTCGTGCCTTGAGTCATCAACGTATCATTATACAGATCCGGAGAAAATTGAAGATTTTTTTTATACGTCTTTATCTTAACAATGACGACAATAAGTATTTATTAAGTGAAGAATATCCGTTTGTGTAAAATAACACGGTAAATCTTTCGATTAAAAAAAAAACTGGAGCATTAAAAAAATGACTAAAATATCTAAACCATTATTGATTCTGTGTTGTATTTACTTGTCTTACCTTTTACTATCCAAATACATTATTTCTCGTCGCTTGTTAATGATGGATAGTTAGACAAATAGATAGATGAATAAGAACAAGAAAAATGAAGGCAACAATGTTATTGCACTCAATACTTAGAATATAGCGACTTGATTTTCATTTTTTTTTTCTTGCTTTTTCTTCTGTTTCTTGAGAATATTCACATCCTATGAGAATTGAAGTATTTATCAATGTTTTCAAGACTATAATATGCACTCTCAACTGATTACTTCTACTAAGCTTCTAGCATTTGAACAAAGAAAATATTGAATTATATTCATTAAAATTCTACCTTCATTTACAATTGTACGTACATGATATCTTTTATGAAATAATACAATTTAAAAATGATCAAGATAAAAATTTTTTCTTTATGTAACTCATAAGTAATAAACTAATATTCTATATTTCAAAAAAAATCTTCAAATCAATTAGCGTGTAGAATTTTGCTCATTAACACGACAATAGAATTTATTCATCTCTTACCGTAATAGTTAATGAAACTTGTGAAGATAATTATAAAAAAGTTCATAATCAAATATAAAATAAAAAATATTGTCTAAATGTATTGGGATAAACGGATAACATTAGTATGTTAGATTCGGTCACCATGCATGTCTTGGATGCAGTAGAACTACTGTGTTATTAACATAATGTTAAATACAAGGTTATTCTGTCTACTGAGTTTATTATTTGTCTTTTGTTATTTGTATATGCTTAGAATATTTATAATAGAAATCTTTGGTTTTCTCATGGTCAAATAAATAACTATTAAAGAAATATCGTTTACTTTATATGTCATTTCGATGAACAAAAACAATAAGAAATAATAAGAATAATGACGTCAAAATAAATTTCAGCAAAAAATTTTATTCTTATTGGTTGCTTTTATATTTTCTCTTTATAATTAACAAATAAGAAAAATTAATAAAAAAACAATTGTATATTATAATCTATTCTGAATATATTCGAAATTCGATACACTCTATCTTTTGTTATTTACTTGATGTTCATTGGAAAGAAGAGATACATTCTAACATACACACACTCATTTGTATCATAGCTCTGTGACATATATATTTTTTTTCTTTAATCAATAAGTTTATATTGTAATCTTTATCGAAAATTTCCTTTTTTCCCACTCTTTATTACTTTTCAGAAGTTTGCTAAAACGAATAAACTTACTAACAAATCCATTGAAAGTCTTGTTAGATTAAGATCGTTGCATGTATTCTATAGAAGAGTACAAATGAAGAAATATATGTTCTAAAAAAAAAACATCTATACAGCTTTTAGTAACCTAGCCGCCAACTAATTGCTATTTCCGGTTATTTTATTATTCATTAACTTTATATTTTAGTTTTTGATTGTTTTTATTTGAATATACTTTATATTTGTCATTTTCTTCTTCAGATCACAATTGACAACACATACATACTCTTCAAAACTTTCTACACTATTAGTCCAATAATAACAACACTCATTTATTATCACTTCTACATCAATTAAATATTTTTAAAAAAATTCAATCGAATATTATCAAAATTAAATGTCATTTTTTTCATCTAATATTAATTATAATAATTCATATAAATCGTTGGAAAAAGATAATCTATCAGCATTATATAAATATTATCAAATTGATCCACAACTGTATCCACCACCTGATCTTCAATTCAATGAAATAATCGAACAATCTTTTTATCCATTACATTTATACTTCCAACCATCGAGATTAGAAAATAACAACTTTTCAGAACAACAAGGGAATATTTCTCATAATCTTACTAATAATAGACAAAGATTTCGAAATGGGAGAAAAGCAAAACAACGACTAAAATCTAATAGAAATCGAACAAAGAATAATAAACAATCGAAAACTATTACTAATAATTTTCATCAACGAAATATAATTACTGTACGTCGAATACCTTATCATGATATGTTTAATTCACAAACAACAATGAAAAAACAATTTGAATATGAACAAAATAATTTTAAAAATCAATGTAAGTGTATATGAATTTTCTAGACTTTAATAGATTTGATCGAATATTTAAATCTGTATTTATGTTTAAAGAAAAAAGAAACTCTATAATTATTTTCAAAAACAAGGATTATCAAATCATACATAACTAAAATTTAAAATTTATCTTCATATCTATCTTATAGGGAATAAAAAACTTAGATCAACTAATCTCATAGCAAATCCATTAGAAAAATCTAAAAACTATCTTACTGAATACAACTCACCACTTCCTTTTGTTGAACTACAAATATCACCAATAGAATCAACTATAGACAAATTATTAGTGTCATCCTCAACTACAAATCATACTACAAACATTGTGACAACACTTGTCTCTAATACTCTCTGGCAACAACAAGCACTTGAAAAGAAAATGTCAAAATCGATGAGTATGACAAAATTGAAGGTTATTTCTGTCAGTGACTCATCAACTAGTTCATTAACATTTACACAATTATTTACTGATGATAAAAATCAGACTAAACCAGATATTATTATACCCGGTAGAAATAGAAAAAAAAAACTTCACGAATGATATATTCTCAACTTGTTTAATACTAAGGTTCACATATTGATTTTGAAACATTGTCTACACCTCATTTATTTTCTACTCCTACTCCTTCTTCTATTGTACCTTATTTTTCATCTACAATTTCTCCTTATGTATTACGTCATGTTTTATCATCGACAAGTATAACGTCAAAAGAAATATTTCAAACAAAATCAATCATAGATTCTAATTTAACAAATGAAAATAATATTCATAATTTAATTGATCAATTGAAAATTTGTATTGATACACTTAAACTCTTACTTGAAAATAAAATACAATATAAAAAATATATTATTTCTAATAAAAAATCTTCTTCAAATGAAAAAATAAGTACACCGGAAAAGAAACAAATAGAATTATTATCATTATCATCGTCTTTAATATCAACAAGAACTTGTTCAAGATTCTCCAGACAATCTATTTCCGATGGCAATGACCTTTTTTTTAAAGATCTTATAATACAACGATGTAATTCTTTTAATAATTATCAAGGACAAAAAAGTATGTTTGATCTTTTCATATAAATAATAGACCAAAAGGTTTTAGACTAAACATATGATTATTTTTAGTATATTTAAAGATTTTGCGTTCTTCCAAAATATATGTTTAGAATTTTCTATTTTTTTTTGACTATTGAGTGATAAGCAGAGCTTGAAAAAAACTGAAAAAAATTTTCACAAAGTTTTATCGAATATATATTGAAAGATTCAAAAAATAATTCTCTACAATTATTCGGATACAATAAAGTCTATTTTTCTGATTTTCGACTTTACAGTACAAAATGATCCTCCGTCACACAACTCTACCATCTTTTTTCTTAAGCGAATTAACTAAAACTTTTCATTCCTGCGTCATTTTGCAGAGTAGAGACCAACCTTAATTACTATATATTTACAGAATTTATTTAATGTAGACTTGTCTTCAGAAAAATAAGATTTTTGCCTCTCGAGAAAACTTTTTTCGAATCCTTTCAAGATTTATACACTACCAATACATTTCAATATATAAAACATTGTCAAATATTCGGCTCACTCCTTAATAATATCATATATTATCATCATAAAAAGTAGCCATCGTTTCGTATATCTAAATTATTAAATCTTCGATTAAAATTGCTAAGCTAGCAAAAAATTTATTTGTCTCTTTTGTAAATTTCTTCGATTATCTATTAACACTAACTATCTTATTATGAATTTTAATTGATTATATACAGTGACTTTGAAAATTATTCGACCAGGTTTATTTTCTATTGTTATAAACATTAATACGAATTCAAATATTGATCTTCGCACAGAATTTTATTTACAATAAGAATTGTCAAGGACGAAAATGATTTCTAGTGCTTCAACGATAGAGTCTCTGAAAACTACAAATCCAAGTTTTTCATCTCCCAGAAATCACAAATAGTATTCTATTTGAATTATTTAGAATGATAGAGCAAACAATTCTCTACTACGATTATTTATTGAGAAAACATCTATTTTACAGAAGACAAAAATGGTGTTACTACATAAAATAGGAGAAAAAAAAAGACTTTTATACCTTTCGAAAAAATTGATATTTCTCGATTTTCAGGAGATAAAAAACTTGAGTTTTGATTTTTCAAAAATTCTTTCTTTAGAAAACTAGCAATCACTTTCATCTTCGAAAATTCTTGTCGGAAATAAAAATTTTCTACACCAATCACTATTTGGATTCGTATTAACATTTATGACAATAGAAAATAAATCTGGTCGAATAATTTTGGGATCCACTGTATGTATTAGATGAAGTTGAGATTTAAGATGCAAAAACAGAAAAAAAAAGGAAATGATCTTATTTTTTCTCGATGTTTATTTATCTTCGAATTTGATCTAGCTCATAGATAATATTTAAACTATGAATATATTATATAATTACAATGAAGGACTTTTAAACTTACATATTCTCTGTGATAGAATAATAAATGTGTCTTCTTGCAGAAAACTGATGCTCAGAATAGAAAAACATGTTGATTTGTTTATTCATCAAAAATACTTTCGAACATCATTTTCTCATGTCGATGATGAAGAAGTCATTTGTGCATATATTAGAATATGAATAATGAAAATGAATACTCTATCTACTTAAAAATAACAAGTATATATTGTGTTCTCTTAATAGAAATGAAAATTAGGATTCATTTTTATATGAAAGAAAATTATTTTGTAGTTTCACACCTAATTAAAAAACAAAATCTATTTAAAATTCAATTTCCCTATGACGTAACATTTTTTTAATTTTTTTTTGTTCTATAATATTAAGCATTCAGCTCAATTCCAGATAGTTATTTGAATAGTCAATGGAGTTTTTTATTTGATGCAAGATTTTCTGTAAAAAAAAATTGGGCATGGTAGTTTTCAGGTTTTAGAGGATATTATTGGAGCTATTTTTTAACAATGCCATTTAAAAAAAAAACAAAATGACAGGTCACCGCATTTCCTGCAATCTTCTCTTACAAAGTTAAATGTATCACATTCGATTGACTATAAGAACCACTATCTGCATTTGAGTTAGATGCTGAATATTATAGAAAAGAAAAATTATGTTGTTGTTAAATTTTTGTTCTACCATGTCACATATCTATTAAAATGACTATGTTATTCTTTTCGCCCACAAAAAAAGGCTTTTTCATATTTTAGAAAATCAAGCAAGCATACCTCGTTCGTACAATAGTCAATATAAAGAAATGAAACGATGTTTGCTCGTTTATCATCGAGATCGAACAAATAAAGATCAATATAGAAATGTTAATTGTAATGGAAGACAGAGATCCTTGTCTTATACTTAGAAACATTTGGCACTGAATAAACATTTACTATTGTCATTATTTTCTCAATCGATGCGAAAACATAAATATCAAAAATTGACCTTGATAAATTCTAAAGAGAAAATTATAATATCTATTTGAAATAATAACTTATATTAAATATAAGCTACCCCCAACACGAAATTCAATTTTTCGACTTCATTTTACATCATCTGATAGAGCTTGAGGTGCTGATCATGAAAATCTACTTTTTAACCTTACTGAATGCTTCTTTCCAATCGAAAAATACGAAATACTCGAAGGGTATCGTTTTCTTCAAAAAAACACATCTTTTCTAAAATGTTCCAAATGTTCTACTTCGTTCTTTTTTTCAGATTCAGCATCAAAAACTAAGTACAAATAAGTTGGTAACTCGACTCTAGAGAGAAAACTTTATTGGTGGTGGCGCTTCGAATCACGTCGAGTGAGATACGTATAGATTGATTTCGTAAACCTATCTAGTTTTTCGACGTAATTGACAAAGGCAAATATTTTATCTTATTCCATTCATCATAACACTTGTCCTCAAACGACGCATTCTTTTTTTTTCTTTTCTTTCCTTTGTCGATAAAAATCGATTTTACTAAATTGTGGACAAAATAGCTAGAATTTTGCCTGTATTTCTCAATTTTCTTCATCAAAACTATGTTATCATGCAATAAGATTATCATATTCGGAATCGACGTGAAAAATCGCGTCGATCTATGTATGTCTTTATCATTTCTGTTGACTTCAGTTTTTTTCGAATTTTCCACTGATGCAGTGACTGAAATTTTCACGAAAAATTGAAAGGTGATAAAAATTTTCGACATATGCATAGATCGACGCGATTTTTCACGCCGATTCCAAATATGATAATTCTATTGCAAGAAAACATAGTTTTGATGAACAAATTTGAGAACTACGGGCAAAATTCTAGCTATTTTGCCTACAATTTAGTAAAATTGATTTTTATCGACGCAGAAAAAGAAAGAAAAAAAAGTGGTCTGTAACTTTGTAACTGGTAGTATGATGAAATAAAATATTTGCCTTTATCAATTACGTCGAAAAACTAGATAGGTTTACGAAATCGACCTATACGTATCTCACTCGACGTGATTCGAAGCGCCACCACCAATAAAGTTTTCGGTCTAGAATCGATTTACCAACTTGTCTGTACTTAGTTTTTGATGCTGAATCTGAAAAAAAGAACGAAGTAGAACATTTGGAACATTTTAGAAACGATGTGTTTTTTGAAGAAAACGACACCCTTCGAGTATTTCGTATTTTTCGATTGGAGAGAAGCATTCATTAAGACTAAAAAGTAGATTTTCATGATCAGCAGCTCAAGTTCTATCAGATGATGTAAAAAAAAGTCGAAAAATTGAATTTCATATTGCGGGCACCTTATATGTTTATCGATCTTTTGTTCTATTTATTTATTTATTCATTCGACAACATTTATAAAAACTATGTTAATAAAATTACATATTTGAATTATTAAAAAAGATCACAATTATATTGAATATTGATACATAACAATCGAAAATATGTTTCACATGATTCATTAACTTTCTCAAACTATTCATACTGAAACAAAACAAATAGACTCTATATTAGAAAAAGTATTGATTTCAATATTCAAAACTAACAGTAACAAATAGAAAAAAAAAACCAAAATCTATGAACGATGAAATTGTTTTTGAGCATGTTGAAGAACATAACGACACTGATTAATAGCATTTGTCCATGATGATATTGTCATTTCCATATCGTTTAATAATTGTTTCAGACGACGAAATTCAATATTATTTGTTGTCAATTCAGGCGTCTTAAATGAGTACTATCAATATATGAAATCAATGAAAAAATAGATACATACATGAAGTGGTATTTTACGTGTATTTGATAATAATTCTTTGAGTTTAGGTGTCATATGAGACCATTCATCAAGTAAATCTAAATGATACAAGAAAAAAAATCATTTCTTTATTAAGTAGTAAACACTATATTCGTTTATAAATTATATTTTTATTTTATTCATAATCAATCTCCTTGGAAAAATTATGAATAGAGCAGAATATCTTGTAAAATTTATGTATTGTCTTGATTATATTTTTTAATCGAGTTCAAAAACAGTTATTTTATTTAAAATGGGATTTATAATAATAGTAACTCGTAGTTTAAATTACAAAATAAAACATGAATTTCATGAAAATAACAATTACATTAATTATTCAGAAGTATAAGATTTGGAATAAGTTGAAGTCAAATCATTTCAACGAATAAGATGTAGAAGAATTTAATCTACTATTAAGATTAGCAGTTAAATATCATAATGAGAACTAAATGATATACAGTTTAGTAAACGATCTTTTATTATAGACGAAAGAAACACCTGCTTTTCAATTTCAAACGGAAACTGAGTCAATATAAAAGTTACAAATACAAATAGAACTTTTCGGATGGTTATTTTTTATTAAAGAAAATATTCTCTCGAAAAACTATTATAGTACTGAAAACTTTAAATATTAAATTCATTTACCGGTGAGACATGGTTTAATTATTGGTTTTTTCTTTGTTTCGTCATTTTTTTTGCTTTTACTTAATATTTTTGGTGTATTCATATTCTTATTATTATTTGATGGTGTCCAAACAGGTATACGTGATATATGATATTTAATTGGCATTAATGGAGGACGATTTTCTTTATTTTCA